ACAAAAAAAAAAAAATAATTAATACAATTAATAGTTATTGGATTTATGTCTCACTATATATTAATTCATCTCTAGGAATTATTTAGTGTGAGGAATACATTGATTGATAACATGAATGTCAGTCGGTTCGTTCACTATAATGTAAGAGTGCAGATACAAAACCCTCAAAGGACAGATTACCTCAGGTTGTTGAAAACATCAAGAAATGTTGACAAATTGTAGTAGATCGCAACTTTTACTTTTTATGCTTTACCTTCAGGTGAATATCGTGGTAGGTATGATTTATTGATTGACTTATGGCAAACCTGGCTTACAACTAATTCTTTCGCTTCAGGAATATGGATGAATCCATCGATTTCTTGGTGAAAATTAAACGGACGCGTACAAACTTTCAATTCACATGAATTAATATTTATTTAAATACATAAATCATGATTTATTTCATGTTTGTATAATTGATTCAAGGAACAAAACATTGCGTTCCCATGGTCTCGTAGGACAATGGGGACGCGAAATTAATTAGTTGGATGCCAACACGGTAACCGCCATCGATTATTTTGAATTTCGAACAAGGGATAAACTACCGACCTCACTCATTTTTTCTGGAGAAAACTCAACCCAAAGTCGGGTTTTGAAGCGATAATCAACTGAAGTTGGTGGAGAGTAAAAAGAATGTGTAAACTAATTTAATAAAAAAATACGTAACCAACAATTTTTTAAAACATACTTTATTATTAATTATTATGCGTTGCTGCGGTATTACATCCTCATCTACGATTTCTGAATCTGATAAGTCTTCTAAAGAGATTTCTTCGGTGCTCATGATTTTCGAAATTAAAAACAGAAAATTGATAATTGAAGGTATTCATAAAACGATCGACACATCATTCGGATCACGGGTAGGGATCACATGGTAACAGAAATTAATAACAAATAAACCCTTTCCTGACACCTTTAGCAACGCCTTAATTTTTGAATATGATATCCAAAACCAGAACCTTATTTTTTAATGTAACTATTTCTTTATTTGTTAAATAAAAACTCCAGGTTCCTTTCTTTTGAGTTTAGATCACAATGCCTGCAAGTGAATTTGAATGTTAGTATATATTAATTTTCTGTGGACATAAATATCGTTGGACCTAAATTATTGTCTTAATGATTTATTAACAGCATTTTCTAATTCTTCTTTTTATTTTCCAGTTTATTTGATGTATTCAATAAACCATTTAAAGAATATGAAATTCAGCTAAACCGTACTGTTAAAGGCACAAAAAAAAGACCAGATTTGTCTGATGTATTTTATCGTCATCTAACTTATTTAATTCGCAATGTGTAGTTTCTGGTTTCTTCTTTACAATTGCTTTATATAATTCAACTAGATGTGAATAGTATGATATCAAAAAAACAATGAC